GTCATTTCTGACTTATAGTGACCCTAAGGTGGACCTATCACAGGGTGTGTGTTTTTTTGGGGGGGAGGCAAGACTTGTTCAGAGAAGATTTTCCCTTTGCCTTCCTCCAAGGCTGAGAGAATGTGATTTCCCCAAGGTCATCCAATGAGTTTCCATGGCTCAGTGGGAATTCGAACTCTGTTCTTCAGAATCCAATGCCCAAACCACTATACCACACTGCCTCTCCTATGCCCCACATTTTCCCTCTCTTACCAACCAATGGGGAGGGATGCTTAACAACTAATTCAGACATTACACCAAACCAGAGTAACAAGATGCATTTGATGTGATGTCTGAGTTCTATACACAACAGTTCCTAGTTCTTAGTCACAGTGCAACGTACAAACCAGGATTAAACCTTAAATTTAACCCCACATTTCCTTGATTCTGACTTTAAAACTGTAGCTTGGAAAAAGTATTGTATGAAAAGCTGCAAAGGAAAGAAATAGGCATACATGAGCAACAATACATTTTCCCCCAATGTGAAATGTTTAAAAATTCACTTACATCTACTCCCTGTATAACAAATAAATTGAAGTGGCAAGGAGACAGAAAATGAAGCGTGTGAGCAGTTATCATACTATGTTTTGTCCACTGAGTGAGAAACACATACTTTGTGCTTAGAAAAGTAAGACAGGATAGGATGCCGGTCTTATACACACAATATAATCCAATGGAAAGACCCCTGAAGGCGGCTTACAGAAATACTATGATCCTAGGCATAATAAATAATAATCTCAGAGCATGTCTAAAGGGACTACCACCTGTTCATTCTTCCTTGGGTCCTCAAAACATCTTAAAAGCTTTAATTTTAAATGGGAGAGTCCAATACCTGAGTAAAAACTATCATTCCGGTGCTCAAAAATTAGCAAAAATAATAATTTTCTTATGATAGATCTCTACTTAGGAGTAGTATCTTCCCCCGTTCATCTGGAGGGGGAGAGCCAACATCCCTATAATAAAAGCCATATTTAATTAGAAGCCTCTTAAGTTAACTAAAAGAAGCTAATCATCATACACTGAAAAAGGTGTAGGCAGAGGGCAGAAGGGTGGGTATTACAGATGCAAATTAAATATCTATTCATTCCAAACTCCACAGGAGTAATTTGTCATGTGGGAACTGTTCAGGAATATTTAATACCTTGGAGGAAAGGGAAGGGGAGGACAGAAATGCAATGTTTGCCTCTCATATTCTTCAAGGGACTCAGAACTATGTTCCAGCATTACAACAATCCTGCGAGGGAGACTAAAGCAACAGCAAAGGTCAAAAACACTCCACCAGTTAAACAAATTATCACACCAAATGTCCGATGCTTTTGTCTTAACTGTTTGTCTTGCATAGAAGGAGATTCAAAACCAAGTATGACTGGATATGTTCAATGTAGTATAGCTAGAGCAATGTTTAAGCAAGCAAGCATTGTCCAAACAGGCCAATTACGAGAAAATAACGGGGAACATTTAACAAATCCTATGAAGCATAAACGAAAGCTGAAGAAGTGTCACAGATAGGAAAAGGCAGAAGCTGCGCTATTATTTTTATTTCTCACCTTTCCGCCAGCACAAGATTCAAGACAATTTGCATCCAATTTAAAACGAAAATCAGTGAATACAGTCAGCCCTCCCTATCCATGGATTATTTATCCATGGATTCAAGCACCCATGACTTGAAAATACAATCGCCTCTCCGTTTTTGCGGACTTGACATCCGTGTCCCTCACCCACTCATAGGTGGCAAATGGAGGGGACAAAATGGGGGGCACACACCATTATTTTCAACA